GCCCCCCCCCCCCCCCCCCCCCCCCCGGGGGGCCCCCCCCCCCCCCCCCCCCCCCCCGGCGGGGGTACCCAGCAGCCTGGCCCGGTTTGCTCTGGTTTTGCTAGCAGTGCTGGGATGGCTGGTGTGGCAGGGGGCAGGGAGAGGAGCTGCCGGTTGCCCCCTGAGGAATGTGGGGAATGCATGGCTCCCCTTTGCCCTTTGCTCCCTTCACAGTCTCCAGTTAATAAGTGAACTCGGACCGAGCAGGGGCTGGGTCTGCAGCGCCCCACACAAGGAAATCGCCAGCCCCCGGCACGGTGCCCACCCGGGGCTGGGCACAAGACGAGGCTGTTGCGAAGGGGAGGGCGGGACCGGTGAAACAGGGGGCTGGTTTAATCTCAGTGGAATAAATAGGCCCAAAGAGACACTGGTGTTACCGTGACCCAGGCACTGTCCAACATTAACCCGCGTTAGCCACATTGGGGCTTGGTTGCCAGGACCTGAGCCGGGCTAGCACCCGGCAGACAAAGCTGCCAGTCTTGCGAGCCCCGCACTGAGGATACGGAAAAGGAGGAAAAGCCGTTCAAGCCTTTGGACTAGATGGGAGTGAATGAGGCTCTCCTGGGAACAGCAGCCCTGTCCCCTTTCCCTGGAGCTGGGGAGAGAAAGCCCGTGTCTGACCGTCTGTTAAGATGGGTGGAAAGATGGTGAGAACAACAAGGAATCCAGTGCAACTTGAAGAAGTGGGTTTTTTACCCACGAAAGCTTGTGCCCAAATAAACCTATTATTCTTTGAGGTGCCACCGGACTCCTTGTTGTTTTTGTGGGTGCAGACGAACACGGCTACCCCCTGATCCTGGGGGGAGACGTTAGCTGAGATGGGGGCGGGGGCTGTTGGTGCTGTTTACCCGTTCCTCAAGGACAAACCAAGCCGCACGCGCGCCCAAGGGGAGACGCAGCGTCAGTCTCAGGTGTGGACATTCACTTGCAATTTCACTGCGGGCAAACCCCAGGCCTGGTGCTCGGCAGATTCATAGCAGCATCGGGCTGTTTAGGGCCTGGCTTTCTGGTGCCCCCTTGGTCCCAGGCTCCGGCAGCTGCAAGAGATGCCGTCGTGGCCAGCTGAGCCAGGCTCCTGTTCGACACAAGGCGAAAAGGAGAGAGAGAAGAAGGAGAATCATAAGGGAGGGAAGAAAAAGGGCCCCTGGGAGTTTGGGGGCGTGTTTGGGGATTCAGCCAAGGCCAGTGGAGGTGACAGTGTCGTGTGGGTCCCTCTTGGCCCAATCTGCTCCAACACCTCTCGGGATCCAGACAGCAGAGGCCCAAGGATGTCTCGGTGGCTCCTGGGGGGTAGCCAGACTGGGCATTCGTGTCTGGCCAGCTTTTCTCCCAAAGTCTCTTCTTGTGAGGACCCCAAAAGGCTGCGCTGGGCGGTCTGGCCCGGTCCCTCCTTAGCTAGGCTGCTGCTGGGGGCACCCCGGGCTGTGGGTGGGGAGCACCAAGGCCTGGCAGCTGGGCTCTGCCACTGCCTGGGGGGGGGGGCGTTTGGCTCCAGGCGGCTGGGAGGGTCCTCAGCCAAGGGGGGCAGAGAGCCGTTAGGAGGAGCCGTCTGCAGCGGTGCCCGTCCCCCAGCCTGGCACAGGGATGGGTGATTCCTTCCGCCGGCTGCGTCCAGCATCTCCCTGCACAGGCGCTGGGGGAGCAGGTGCAGATCGGACCAAGGGCTGGGGCTCGGACCAAGGGCTGGGGCTCGGACCAAGGGCTGGGGCTCGTGCACCCTGGGTGTGGTCCCACGGCACTGCCTAGAGGTCACAGCACCAAGTCTGGGAGAGGGGGGAAGGAGGCAGTGAGCGGTTCCTTGCAAGGCCGGGTTAATGGCTAACCG